CGCCTGGTCTGACGGCCGCGATGGCCTACTGGACGCTGTTCTTGCTGAGGTACCCCTAGATCTCTTTCAAGCCATGGCTTAGGTCTGGTTACTTAGATATCTCAAAGTATCAGAAGTTACATTATGGCGGCGTAACATCAGCGCAAATGTGATGAGGGGTGCGTGAATTAGATGGAAAAAATCAGTCTCCTCACACTGGCCGGTATTATCAACTATTATAGGATTGGTTGCTAGAAAGAGTCAACTGAAAGCTAAAGCTTGATAGTAGCTATTGAAGCTGTCGAACTCTGGTATGAAGACATCCCATGGCTCTACCGCCTACGCCTCTAGGGTCCTTGAAGCAATCAGTACTCATACAACTATCCATCATATAATATGTATCAGTTTCTATGCCATGTACTCAGGAGTCACTCATGTGATATACAGAATATTTGTCACACGATGACTTGTGGTAACCCCGCTTTGCTCCTCCCCTATTCAGTTAGCCAATCAGCCAAGGCAGCCAGCAAGCGGCATCGTTCTCCCCGACCATCCTCCCATTTGTTCCCATCCACAATATCTAACATGGTCTTCATTGGTGGATCGTTGTCGCTGCCAGGTGCATAACTGGTGATTTGTAAAGTGACCATGCCGTCAAAGGAGGACTGCTTTTCAATCGGCACACCCCCTGTTGTGTTCGTGTTCAACATCTGGGCAACACCACCTCCATCCTTCTTCCATTGAGGCCAATTCGTGATATTTGATTCAGCGCCGCGCAGTGTTGGAGCTCCGTGGACAATAAAGTCGCCCCATGCGACCTGCAAGCCCCGTCGAAGGGGCGCCGTGATAGATGTGTTAGGTGTGTTTACATCCGCGAGAAGCACATCTGTGGTACTTCCAGAGCCCACGTCTAGACCATGATATGCAGGTGGTACACTAAACTGGTATCGCCATGCCTGACCTCCAGGCTTAGATGCGTATGCGTCTGCAAGCCAGTGCGATGGGCACATGAACGTGGCTTCCGCGTAAAAGTTGTTGGCTACTTGCTGCCAACCCGTAGCATAGTTGGATACGGTTGTGGCGAAAGGCGAATCAAGGCCACTGGTTTGAAATCCCGGGTCAGTGTTGTTCGCGTCCTTCGAATTCACTGCCAGGAATTCTTCGTGTTTCTGAGTGTATGTTGCAAGAATATCTGTAATGTTGCTTGTCGCCAGCTTGGGATAGGTTGTCTGCAAGAACGATACAAAGCCTGCCTGGGATGTAATGTTCTGCGGGGTGAAATAGGGACCCTCGTCCGCAACATTGCTGGTGAGCAGATTTACGCCGTGGGCCTTGGCCTTCGCGAGTTGATTCGGAGGAATGTCCTTAACGAGTTTCCCATCAATCACTGGCCCCCATGCCCACTGGCCGTAGCGACCCTGTGTACTCACCCAGTCACTCGCATTTTGAAGAGTGACTGAGTCGACGTTTTGCAGGCAGGAGAAGATAGAAGTGGAGTCTTTCGTGGTTGTGCACCCAACACGCTCAGCCAGACTTTGGTATTGCTTTTTGGGCCGAGCGCCATCGAATTGACTGCAATGCTTGCTTCAGACAGGTTGTCCCACGCCTCGAAAGTTGAAAGGTAAAAGTATACTTACGGCTGAGTTGCCATGTATGGACTGCTTGCAATCACACCTCTGAAGAGACCATCTGCCTCATGCGTCGTAGCCAGATTTAGGATCGCTCCAGCTCCGGCGGATTGTCCAGCTACAGTCACTTTTCTTGAGTCCCCGCCGAACTTGCAGATGTTTTTCTTGACCCAACGAAGCGCATACACCATGTCATGCAAGCCGGCATTAGGAGTGCCGTTGGCCGCAACTTCATCCGATGATAGAAAGCCAAATGCTCCCAGTCGATATTGGATCACGACAGCGATGTAGGTGTTGTTGTTGGTCGCAATCTGAGTAGAGAAATCAAACGAAGCCGCCGAGTCAAGGCTGTAACCGCCGCCGTGGATCCAAACGATAACAGGCAGGTTCTTAGCATCTGCAGGGGCAAAGACGTTCAGGAAGAGACAGTCCTCGTCACCTGTAAAATTGAACGATTTCAAAGAGACTTCCTCGGATGCGGTCTTGGGATACTGCAGAGAACGGCGTGCCCATGGGCAACGGGGCGGATCGGACGTAGCAGGCGTGATCTCACTATTGTTGCCGGACTTGTTGCTGCTTTCTGGTGCCTGAGGTAGTTGCCATCGAAGGGCACCTGTTGGAGCAGCCGCGTATCGAATGCTACATTACGTCAGATTCTGTCCAGATATCAAATATTGCCATGTGGTTTCTGTAGCACTTACCCTCGGAAGATGTTGAGATTCAAGGTCGAGTTGTGCGTGCCCTGGTATCGGGCGTAGGAAAGATCAACCGTGGGTCGGCTCAAATCTTCTGCTGCGGCCACAAACGGCAGAAGCGCGATCAGCCCCGTAAAGAGCCTCATGATTTCTTGAATATCCAGAGAATTCAATTGCAAGAGGTCGGGTTGAAACTTGTCTGGACGTGAGGCGTCTTGTATGCCTAAGCGTAAGTCAAGAAACAAACGGAACAAACAGAGAAGACACCAGCGACGCTCATGGATTACTACGGACCAATAAGTAATGGACTTGAAATTGAAGAAAGTACTGGAACTCACAACAGTTATGTCCTCCTTTTGGGACTCGAATGGGGTAGATCATGATTGACGCGTAAATTGACCGAATTAAGTTTAATTACCACCTCGTCCTAACCCCACTAACACAAGGTGCATTTCTCACGACTCGCGCGATGAACGTTAGACTTTCCGCGGCATATGTCAAGCGGAATTACGTTTGGTCCATAATCCCGACAGTCGTTACATCGCCAATTGGTCGGTGACAAACACCGCAACGCTAACACCGAAAGTCAAAATCGTCTGGGAACACATCTTTCGGTCGGCTCGGGTGAAGTCTCGGACTTATGTAACAGCGGTCCGCTGCTGAAAGCTGTAGTAAGTCGATACTCTCCCATTGGAACAAGACGAGCGACTATCATCGCGGCAAGACTAGTTTGAGGAGGCCGAAGAAATGATGATAACCCTTGTGGACGTCTCGGTCGGACGTTCACGGGGGAATTAAACACAAAGATTTAATGAAACATTCCAGAAGCAACGAAAATCAAATAAACACACGGCAACTGGGAGGGAATGAAAGACGTTGGGCTTGGGGATGAGTGTTTGATTGAATTAGTGTGGTTCATCGTGTGCAAGGACAGCCCGCGGCTGATTCTTCAAAGCCGGCGCATGTATGATCCCCAATCGCTCGATCGGAAAGCGACACGAAGATATAAACATCGATTTTTGGTAGTGTAATGTATCAATCGCTCCGCGATTATCTTCTACTGCGAAGGCCGTAGTTGGTCGGGTGAAAGGCGGCTGGGAAACATCTGACTGAGATAAAAACCAACGTGTCGGCAAGTGGATCAGGGGGACATACAGACTGCCGAACGAATTACACCCTCAATCCAGAATATGAGCATTGTCGTGATACTGATAAATTCCGTGCGAGAGTGAACATGGTGTTTCGGGGTCTATAAACTCTTCGTCGTGATACTGCAAGCCGCGTCCATATGCTAGGTTCAGAAATGCAGATGCAATCAGAGTCGGTCTTTACAATTTGATGTCCAGTTCAAATATTATTAGGACCCAAAGCAATGATTGGTGATTGTATGTGCTCTAGACATTGACGATGCTGACTTTCTCAGCCGAGTTTCACACGGTTATGACTATGCTTTTCACGACCGATAACTGGCCAACGGGCCGACAGAGAAAGCTGTTTTAATCGGATGTCAAGGCCACCTCCACTACTCAGTATCTACAGGCACGCGTCGCAGGAATTTGCAAGTGTCATGCTAGCGCATAAGCCTGATAACACCACTAAATGTGCTGCAAAGAACGAGAACAGAATGACATCCGCTCAATAGTACCGTGGTCTCTGACAACCACAATTTGAATTCCTTGAAGCCGTTGAGGGTGACGGAGAATTGAAAACGAAATGTAATTGCGAAATCCGCAACAGGCTCCGGTTGTTGATCATGTAGCCTGGCGTGAATTATTTGAGTATCCACGAGATGAGAAAGATCATGATTGATTGCTTCGTGGCGGAGAAAGACAGCTTGCTTGGGTCGAAGTTAAGTAGGTATTGACGATCATTCAAGATTCAAGACATGGTTACCAAGACGGTAATTGTGGCGAGTGTCAACGCAGTCCGTGTGTCTGCCCAGGAAACAATCGCATCCACTCCATCGGAAAAGCCTAAATTTAAGCTTGGTGAGCAATCTTTAGTGGCTTACATGATGCTTTTCAATCATCCTGTAGACGAACACTTCAGACGAAGTCAACCGGGACGGACTACTCCTATCCTTTCGCTGTGTTCCGGGTGTAAAAGGATCAATGTGGGGCGCCGAAACACAGCGCTGCTCAACGTTGACGTTCGGACTTGTCCACCAGTATCGCCATGTGGTCAATGGTTATCCCGCCGGCGCTACCCCGCGGATCTGTTTCCATCCACCAATCCCAATGAAGGTTTTGCGACATAAAGTCAAACATAGAAATTCGTTGCGTAAATGAGTCTTGCTGCAACGCCTATGGTATCGTGAATACGTTTTGTCCACCTGGGCAAGGCCGGGAAACAACCGGAAATCCCTAACTTGAGGCACACCAAGGTGGACAACAAGAAGTCATTCCACAACATTTATTGGACCGATAGCGTGAAGCATTTCGGGATTGCCGACGCCTGTCGGCTTTGTACTGGTATATGATATTATGGAGGCACCATCTACGCCTCTTTGGAAAATTAACCATTACATACCATCGACAACATTGGCTAGAGGACGGTTATCATGGCATTTCATCCAAAGTCGGCTGCCTTGGCCGACATCGCGCGGGTCGCGTTTGTCGTCATGTCCTGTCTTTCTGCCGTGGCTGCTCAGCAGCCGGTTCAAGTAATGCTGGACGATGGCCCTTACTCTGGAGTCACAATGGCCGGGGTCAACAAGTTTCTAGGGGTTCGGTATGCTGCCCCTCCTGAACGATTCGCACCTCCAGCTCCTGCATCTATGACGCCCCATAGCGATGCGAAGGACGCGACCAAATTTGCTCCTTCTTGTATACAAGCTATTCCAGGTAAGGTGCCCATGTGGAAGGGATCACGGCACTTTACTAATTCTAAAATAGCTCCCATTGCCGCCCAGATGGGCAACATGGGTCCGCAAAGCGAAGATTGCTTGTTTGTGAACGTCTTCGCCCCGTCGTCTCCTCCGCCTCCCGAAGGAAGAACTGTAATGGTGTGGTATTACGGCGGAGGCTTCCAATTCGGTAGCGCCAATACTCCCATGTTTGACGGTTCAAGCTTCGCCCAGAACCAGGATGTGATTGTTGTAACTCCCAATTATCGGACAAGTGGTTAGTTCTTCGTATCCAGGAGTCCGTCCTGAAGTGAAATATCTAATGACTTTTCTCTCTAAACAGTCTTTGGGTTTCCGGGAAGCGTTGAAGGAATCCCTCCTCAGGCACGTAATGTTGGCCGTGAGTCTATTTCTCTCCTTTCCTCAAATGCATTTGCTAACTAAGAGAAACGTCATGGACCAGAAGCTTGCTCTTCAGTGGGTTCAACGAAATATCAAAGCGTTCGGAGGCGATCCCAAGAAGGTCACCATCTTTGGTGAATCTGCCGGTGGAGCCTCCGTTGATCTGCTCCTCTTGACCAGCGGCATGAACCCTCCTTTCCGAGCGGCGATAACGGAATCCGGAACCTCGTACCTTGTCACAGCGCCACAAGCCGGTGGAGATATTGTTGGGTTGATGGCTGGCATCAATACGGGTGCGAGCATGCCAGGAAACTCTTTCAAAACTCTGGCCAAGGCTTTGAACTGCAATGGAGGCCAAGCCCTCGCTTGTGTGAAGGCAGCACCTGTGGATGCTGTTGCCTCCGTGATCTCGAACGGACCATTCAACTTCCCCCCGGTTGCTGACGGTGACACGAACGTTCCTAACTCTCCCGACGCTACAAGATCCGCCGGTCGGGTCCCCAAGATACCACTGATGCTTGGCACCAACCTGAGAGAGGCTGACATCTTCACCATGATGAGGCCGCCACAGCCAGTGAATGCCTTCGTTGCAGCAACATTTCCTGGCGATACAGCATTGCAACAGGCGGTTGTCTCTGCGTACCCCATCGGGGCAGGTACTCCATTCCCAACGGAAAAGGATGCCATAACTCAGATAGCTACGGACCTGGATTGGACTTGCAGCATTAGCCATGAGGCCCGTATATCCGCGCAGGCAGGCGTTCCAACCTGGAGATACTTGTTCAACTCCACCTCCTTCCCTCCAACTCCCGGAGGCATTCTATCACGCCCGGTGCACGGCTCCGAGATTAGCTTCGTGTTTGGAAACTTACCTCCACCCCCAGCGACGCCCGATCAGGCAGCTGCGCTCAGCAAATTCATGCAGACAGCATGGGCTAGCTTTGCGAAGAATCCAGCCAACGGGCCTGGTGTTCAAACTTGGACACCACACACTGGTATGCCAGGAGCCATGGACTTGGCTAATCTGGGTGGAGTTGTTGGAAGTGGGGTGGCCATGGTAGATCCGCGCACAGTTGATAGTCGGTGTAACCTCTTCGATAAGGCGTACGCTGCCGCCATGACGCCGTCTTGAAGTTCTATAATCAATCAACCGCTTGAGTCTCAAGCACTATTTCTTTCATTAAGTGAACATCCCTACAATACGAAACTGTGCTAGGACTGTAGCTATAGACTGTAGCACAGTCCCCCGCGTCAGTTCAATCACTTCGCGAACTCGCTTATGGGGCTGGGTTTGTAATGTCTGTAAATGACACTTATCCGACGTTCGAGGGCGTGGCGCTGAATAAATATCAGAGAAGCAGAAGGCCACCTCGTAGGGTAGTCTAGCTGGAGTTGTCTGCACACAATGCGAGTGATAATCTTTAGCATTATGTGAACGACATGATGGGGGTATGGTTTGAGGTTTGAGTCAGTAAAAACTTTCAAATAATTCATCTGAGTATCAGCTTGTGTTACGAATTTCCAGTACGTAGATGAGGTATTTACTTCGAAATTAGCGCATGAGACACCGCACTCACGGCGACTACTGAGCAGACCTGGCTTCTCTGGAACTACTGTAATGACCATTCAGTAACTATCATGCAAAATAAGTTTCCACTTGTGTTGATAACTCCCGACCTCACTTCAAGCCACGGAAAAATACATCTAAGTTATCTTTGCCCAAGGTCAAAGTTACTTAGCACAGCTGAGTGCCTGAAACACCCCATGAAGCTTGCTTCCGAGCCTCTTCCAAAGAGGACCCGCTTGAATGCCCTTCCAGGCACGCTGGCGATCACCAGAAGCAAAGCCTCCCGGCGTCTGTACCGCAGATAGCCCCGCCTGCAGGTCCTCTGCGTGTTCCAGCAGCTTCTTCTCAAACGTCTTGGAATATCCAATCAATGAAGAACGAATGCAATGCAAGTCGTCTCCAGACTCCAGACCGTGCTTTTCAAGGAACAAATCGTCATCCTCCTCTTCCAGAAGGCGGAGGTGCACGAGGATCAAGTCTTTCAACTCAACGAGAACACCACAATCGGCACAAGATGGATACAGCTGGCGTTCGGCCTCCGAGAAGTCGCGGCAGAGAGCATGACCGGGACTGTTGGTGTGCGGCCCGCAACGCCCATACGCGTGGTTCAGCTTGGCATGCCAAATGGTACGAACGCAGAACTCGTCGTCCGAAACGACAGAGCAACTGCGCCCGAGCTTGCAGGCTCGATGAGCGGGGTCCGCGATCGCCCACTGTGGGGTGTTCTTGAACTTGGCTAGATTTGCCATCGTTGGGAGAACATCGGCAACACAGAATTCACCACAATCACTGTGGCAGGATACGTTGCTGTGCAGGTGGGATATATCAATGATATGAAGAGCCATGCTGAAATTCGATGTGCGGTATGTTTAGAGGACTTGGTGAAATGAGGTCCGGAGAGATGTTCGTCTAATAACGAAGGACCAATGCGGGATTCTGAGCCCTGCGGAAGGCTGGATTTTTGAAGTTGATGATGATAGACCAAAAGTCAACCCCATTGCGGACAGGTAACAATCTCATTTTATACAAAGAAGAGCTCCCCCGCGGCAGATGGGCATCACATGACTGGCGTCGATATCATTTAGGTCCCCTTACCGTAATCCATACCACGTCTCGACCGCTCGGAGACACATGGGTGTTCATTACCAGGATTGAGATAAAAACGCCGAGAATGGAATCCTCATCGTTCACACGGACGCACCTGGTATGTTTGCTGTTTCTAGCGGTCTTCATATTGCACAGCGAATCGAGACGGTTACCTGGACTCGAGCTTGTTCCTCTCCTACGTAACAGAGGGCCATGGTGGTGTGGAGCAAGACCGGGAGATATACCCGCCGTTCAAGTGGCTCTAGCGCCAGCGCATCTTGCCCAAACCAGGGGCATCTTGATCTATGTTCGGCGGGGGCTGCATTGCACATCCCAGCAAATACCATCCTTGCCTAGCACAACCATCGGGGCGGGCTCCGAACACCGAAACATCCTTGTCATTCAAAAAGACACACAATATTGAGCCATGAAAGTGAAAAGTTGGTAGCTAACGAGCGTTCAGATCGATGAGATAACTTCAAGCCCTACCACGGATGGGGTGATGGATCGAGTGATTGGTAGACAGGAGGCTCATCGAAAGCTGGCCAAGTGTCGCATTAAACTCTCGGGGCACGTTTCAACGGTTTCCGTAAAGCTGAAGGCTCACGGCAAAAAGTTGCTCGTAGACTCCTGTTTGCATTTGTGAGCATTATTCTAGTTATCTCGTATGATAACATGCGCAGAACCTATCATCTTGAAACCGTACTTATGCAGGTCCAGCGCTCCCCGTAAAGCAATTAAACTTGCCAAGTTCAATTAATTAATTAATCAATTTTGAAGCTATCGCTAGTTAATTAAGTTAATTATAACCCTTAAACTTAATTAATTACTTTAACTTTTTTAATAGGGATTATAATATAGATTAAATAAATATTTTACTACTAAATATCTTTACTTTTCTTTATCTATCCTCTATTATACCTCTACTTCTAATAAACCCCTCTTCTTAGTAAAATATAAATTACTTCTTTTTACTTACTTAGTTTCTCTTTTTTTCTTCTTTAATATAATAATTAATATAATTATTCTAGTGAATATTAGTAATATTCTCTAAACTCTATAGGGATAATAGCTAAGTCTTTTAGGGAAATTAAAAACTAATTTTTAAGATCTTCTAGAGATTTATATTAAAATTATTATTTTACTACTATTATCCTCTATCTCTATTATCTATTAATATTTTTTAAATATAAAAGTATTATTAAGTTTACTTTCTTTTGTTTTTTATTTATTTTATACTAAATATCTACTATATTAATAATCCTCTATTTAACTCTTACTTTTCTTCTAAATATTTTTAGTTAACTCTTAAAGTATAGATCTATTATATTATAGCTTAAATAAGGTTAAAACTACCTCTTATTTAACTATTTTTTATTTAAAAACTTCTTTAAAATTATAATAAATAATAAAGTATATATATAAGAGTTAGATCTTTAGAGAAAGAATATAAGAGAGAGAATAAGTTAAATAGAAAGTTATAGATAGTATTTTATCTTCTATTAACTAAATAGCTAATTAAGAGTAAATTATTAAACTTATTATTACTATAATCTTAAAAATAAGTATATTATTTTTAATATTAAAGCTATTTTATTTACTTCTAAGTATTTTAAGAAGAACTATTTTAGAGAGATATAAGTAAGATCTATTAGCTTAAAAGGTTCTAAGTAACCTAAAGATATTCTATATAAGAGATATTATTTTAACTTTATTAGTTTAATAAAAAGCTATATAAAAAGTATTTAGAAAGCTACTATATACTTAATTATAGATATTAACTTTCTTTTTACTATTTATAAGAACTTTACTTTTTAGTATATAATTTCTAAAGCTAGTACTAAACTATAAATATTACTATAATTTAGTATTTTAATAGTTATTACTTTTAAAAATATATAGAAGTAATAGAAAGTAGTTATTTAGTAAGAACTTTTATATACTAACTTTAAGATATATCTAAGTTTTAATTTATAAACTTCTCTAAGTTACTAAGCTATTATAAGTATTACTATATACTTTATTATTAAAAAAAAAGGTTTTTAAGTATATCTTATTACTATAAAGAAGTAAATTAGTGCTTATAATAATATTAACTTTATAAATACTCTTAAAGAGATTATTATTAGCAACGCCAGCCTATCGCAGCGTTAATTAAGCTAGGCGCGCCTTACGTAATCAGCAATTATATAAGGCACCAGCCTCTACAATTAACGCTATAATTATAGCTACTACCTCTAATGTAGTTAACCTTATATATATCACTACTAATGTAGTTAATATAATATAATATTTATTACTTATAGTACCTTACTAGCTAGCTAGTTTTATAAGACTAATATTAATTAGTAGTTAACTTTATAGTTACTACTATATAATATATTAATTAACTATAAATTAGTAAAGCTTTAGAAGAGGTAGTCTTATTAATATTTATTTAGATCTATTCTACTTAGAAATACTTAATTAATTAACCTATATTAATAAAGTAGTTATAACTTTAAGAAAAGATAGCTTATATTACTTAAGCTACTTTAAACTTACCCTCTTTTAATCTTTAAGAAGAGTATATTAACGCTAATATTACTAATACTAATAGGATTAAGTAATATCTCCCTATAGTATTAATAATAATAAGATTATAATAATAGTTTTTATAGCTTTTAATCCTATACTTAATAGAAGTAGTTATAATATAATTTAAAGGATAATCTATTTTACTTAGAACGTTCTTAGTAATTACTCCTCTTTCCTATTTAAAGAGTATTTATTATATATTTAACTCTTAATATTAACTTTAGCTTATTAACTTATAATTAATAGTAAAATTAACTATCTACTTCACTCTTAACTACCTCACTTAACTTCTTACCTTCTTATAAATAGAGTTTTTATACTATATAAGTAAATAAGAGATTACCTTACTTTTAATAGCTTTTAATTACTTTCTTTTTATTAAATTAATATTAATAATAAATAGCTACTTTAAGCCTATTTAATAATAACTACCCTTATATATAGTATATAGTATACTTTACTATAAGTTTTTCTTATTATTTAACTACTAAATACTAACTACTAACTACTAGCTATAAGAGAATTTTTCACTATTTTTTACTCTTATTAACTTATACTCTTTCTATAACACTATTATATAGTTCTTCTATTTCTCTTATAATATTACTTATCCTTAAGATTTTACTACTTTATTAATAATATTACTCACTAAGCTTACTTACCCTCTTATTAATACTTACTCTTAGTACCTTTCTTTATATAAGTAACTAACTTTTATTCTATTATAGAGATCCTTTTTAACCTTTATACTTCTATTTTTAACTACTATTAAGCTATATTAAGTTAAGTAAAAGTAATAAAATAGTAAATTATCTACTAAATAAATAAACTTTAGCTACTATAATACTTAATAAGCTCTTTATAATTATAATATAGTAATCCTTACTTATAATTTAACTTAATACTTTACTCTATTAGAAATATTAATACTTACTCCTCTATATCTTTAATAAGCTATATAACTTCTTAAATAACTATTATTAATTTATTATAGCTTTATTAGTATTACTCTTTAGTATACTTATAGTTACTAAAAGTCCCTTTAACTATATCTAATTTAACTACTTTAGCTTCTCTAAATAACTTTCTAAGTAACCTTCTAGCTCTATTAGTACCCTTAATACCTCTAGCTAGTAACTACTTTATCTTTATCTTTATTAGAGTTTATAATATAGTTAACTAAAGCTTTTAGGGAAAGCTTAGTAATATTAATATAGAATTAAGTATTATTACTTATAGATAGGTTACTTTATACTTCTTATTTAATATAGAATACTACTAACTTAATAGCCTTATTAGTTTTACTTTTTAAAGTTAAGCCTCTACTAACTTTAAAGATATATTAAAGTTTACTTTTAATAACTATAATATAGCTACTATAAAGAAATTTAGAGATTTCCTTATTACTAATAGGGTTTATATTATCTAAAATAGTACCTCTATTGCTTCTAATATTTATACTACTTTTTATAGAGATTTCTATTAATAGACTAATAATAATATTAATAATAAAATAACTAAGTTTCCCTCTCTTAAAAAAGCTATTAAGGATATTAACTTCTTTAATAATATTAAGGGTATTAAGCTAGAACTATTAGCTTCTTCTAATTATACCTCCTTATATATAGCTCTATCTTTTAGACTAATTTAGTATAAATTAAGTATTTCTAAAGCCTACTAATTAATTATTTTTATTTCTTTAGGAAGCCTTAATATTAACTTTAGTAAAAGTAATATACTTAATATTATTATACTTAATTAGCTATCCCCTTAATAATTTATAGATCTTATAAAGTTATATAATAATAATATATAATTTAGAGGTAATATATATAATATCCTTAACTCTAAGCTTTTTATCTTTAAGGATTATTATATTAAAGCTAGTATTAACTAGTTTTAAACCTTAAGTACCTTCTCTATTATACTTAAAAGTAAAGCACTTAACTATTATTATAATAAGCTTTATAGTAATAATATACTTATTAACCTTATTAGATTAATTACTAAAGTTAAAGTTTATTTTAAAACTAAAGAGTTATATTAAGTATATCTCTCTAAGTAGTATAATACTACTTTTAACTAT